AGGAATTTGATTGAAAGAACTCATTTCTTGTTAAATACAATATATTCACACAAAAGTTTTTATTTTCAAACTTATAATTTCAGTTATTTATACATTAGATGGCCAGTTTATAAAAACTTAGATATAATGTATCATCTCACTTATAGTAAAATCTGTAATATATACCAGTGACCAAATTAGCGAAATGAACCTGACTTGTCTAAGATTTTTCATATTAGAAAAAGTTGTATTTTCATTAACAAAAATAAGCTTAAAACCAACAAATCCAACATTGACCTGTTGCAGTAAGGTTGTCTCTGAATCATGGAATGTTTGATCTGACCAGAATGTTGGCTGACTGGTTAACTTGTACTCAGTTGTTATGGTATTGTATAGACTTGTAGGCACTAGCTTCACCTCAACATATCTAGCTCCCAAATACAGTATCATACTTATCATGTGTTAAAATGGACAATATGCTGGAAAATAGAGAATATGGGAGGAAAGGTATAGAGGGGTAAAGGGAACATTTTGGTATATCCAATATTATTTATTTTGGTACATCTTTCTTAGATTTTAGATTGATTGTTTAGAAAGTGTAATAATAAGATTGATATTTTAATGAGGGGTAACATAGCCTAATGTCTGCTTTCCAATTTTCCAAAGCAAGTCTTGATAAACTTTCTAAAGTAATTCTAATTGAGAGAGTCTTGTTTTGGCTTAGACCTAGGATGTTTGGAGATTTCTGACTATGTTCTAATATAACAGTCTAGCCTTAGTGGCTTTATGAAACTTCTCACTGATCAGCCATGGCAAAATAACATGAAGTCTGAGGTAATTGAACAGTTGCTAGGTAACTAGTGTCTTCAAGTTGCTATGGTGATAGAGTGTGCTGATCATTACTGTGAGAGATGTAGTGATCTGGCAATCTTTAATTTTATCAGTCCTTGATTGCATAGAGAAAAAAGGTTTTGGAAGAATGATGCTGCTTGAGAGTATTATCAATTAATGTTGCGTGATAACTATGGTATGCTGAATTAATACACTTTTAAAGTATAGATTTTGAAATAGAGTGATTGACATAACTTTAGAAATTTATTGGTGAAAAAATTTTATTTTAGAAAATGATGAATATAGAATGCATTCAATCAGTTCAGTGAGGGCTTTTGATCTCCTAAGGGGAAGAGGATGGGTTATTAAAGGTTTCTTTCTGATAAGATTACAGTAAGAACTCTTGGGCATTGAATGGCTGTCAGTCCTGTCTCGCAGTGTTCCATGGTATCATTTTTAAAATGTCTACAGTTTAAAGTACATGCATTATATGCCACTTGAAATCCTTGATGACTCTACTTTTCCGAATTTTGCATTTTATGACATTTGAAAAACTTCATGGGTAATATCATTGGCTGTCTTTGTTATAGTTTATTAGGGTCCATTTCTTCAACAAGGCATCCTTTCCAATCCCATTATACACAGAGTCTGTGAGGACAAAGAAAAGCACTTTAGTAGTTTGTGTCCCAGGATGCACCATCTCCTAATGGATGCAGGGAGATGTCATGTCTATTGAGATACTTCTTCTAAAGGATTGCATGGATTTATCCCAAAGGAAAATTGCTAACATTTTTTGACAGAATCTTGTCTACCATGATGTTAGGATTAAAGCTTAATGTCTGCATTTGATGCCTTTTTATTATCTAAAGGGAGATTAAAGGGGATGCTACTAAAACAGATCAGCTATATAAAGAGCTTATGAATCTTGTAATGAAGTATTGTCAGCAAAATAGTCTTGTATTTTGACTGTAGATTTGTTACTTTATACCCAGCAGCTTTCAATACTCAACTCTTCAACTAAACCTGACACACATGTACTCAATCTCAAGTACTCAAACTCAATATTCACCCTTTATATAGCCCATTGCCAAGTTTTATTACTCAAGTCACTGTTAAAGAGATGTAATAAACAGTTAATCCAACTAAAAGGTATATTTTTGCATATAGCAAGTGACTAAATAAATATTGAGAATGTTTTTCCAAGCCATGTCATCTGTCAAAAGTGATCAGATAACATGAAGAAAATTGATAGCATTATACATGCATGCATGGATCATTTATAATATTCAAACATCACAAATACCCCAAACCAGTATTTGTGTTTGCTTCCAGCATTTTACTTTTCGCTTCACCTGTAATATTTTCATGTGCTTGTACTTCCCAAATCTTTGGGATATTAGAGTAGATTTCCATGTTGTATTAGTTTAGTAGAAATCAAAACAAATATATTTGAATAAGAAAGTTAATTCTTAGTTAAAATAACATAGATGTTTATCATTAGAGAATACTCTTTAACTTTTTAAACATACATGAGGCCACAGTTTTGATCCCTAAACAAGCAGTGATGTTAAAACATGGCTACCCAAAGAAAACATTCCATGAGGTCATGCTCTAAAGAATAAAACGAGACAAAAAGGATTGGAAAGTACAATGCATAAAATAAACAGACACGAAGTAAACATATTCGATTAATAAAGAGATGTAATAAAATCAGTTAGTTAATAAATGGATTGAGAGAAGCATGTAGAAAGTTTGGGAAGAGTGTTATTTATTCTGTAGGTAAGGTGAAAAAGGTCTCTAGTCAAGTAGGCCTGGCTCCATACTTTATTTTAGTTCCTTCTTTTAAATAAAGCGTACCTTGCAAACAAACACTTCAAGCTTAACTTAAACACTTAGCAGGGAGGTTAGCTTGTCAACTTCAAGATTTGGTTGGCAACATAATTTCTTGTGTCATCCATTATACTGGGCAACATATATATTATATCAATTAAGGGCACTTGTCTCCCCAAAACATATAATTATTAAACCTTAACTTAAAGTTGATAATTCAGTTCTTATTTTGTTTTACATAATTTAAAAGGTGATTCCAGCATTTTATGGATGCGTTGTGGCTTATTTTGGAGATGATTATTCCCCCCCCCCCCGCTCAGAGCTGAATTTAATACTGACAAATATAATGTTGAAAAGTTAGTATATTATGTCGGATTAAGTTTGAGTAGGTATATGTTTGAGACTGATTGCTTGGCTAGACTAATAAGTTTGAGGAGGTATATATGTTTGAAATTGATTGCTTAGACACCCATGTTGTGTGTCTCAATGTTTTATATATCTTGCATTTCTTGTAGGGATTTGCAGCATGTTAATATGTTTTATCAGCTTTTGAAATATGCAACTTGGAACTTGTATGAACTCAAGTACAAGACAGTAAAAAGCAAGATATTATAATCATAAAATATGGTAATAACAAATAGACTAAACTCACCAGTATGATACTTGGCTTTTACAGCCTTCATGGTTGTGCTATAATTATAAAATCTGAACTGTTTTATATACATTTGTGATCAGCGATTCAATAGATATTTGCAGATGCTTATGTTATTTATCTTCTAGGAATTAACGTTTAATTAATTTAGCATAGCTAAACTTGAAAATCAATGTTACCTTCTCATCGTTTTGTACTTTTATACTTTTGTTTAACAAAATGAATACATACAAAAATGAGATTTTCTTAAGTTTGCTGTTTATGTTGCTCGAACATCAATACCTAAAATGTGTAAAGACTGAGATGTTTTCAATATGAAGAATGGAATATATTATAAGGAAAATAAAAGCGAACAATAATTTACTCAATCTTTAAATTGTATAGAAAATGGTGAAACATTTTTGAAGTTAAGAGAGTATTTTTATGGAATGAGCATGCACTATTTTTTACAGCCATGATATACTTGCTCCAAGAAATAAATATCTTCACCCAACATAGACAGGAGGTCATTCTTAAAGAAACATCAGTTCAAAGAGGGTACTCTTGTTAATAGAGATCATGGTAAATTGCTGTTAAACATAGTGATCTTTTTGGGTTTTTGACAAGGGATGTTTTTTGGTTGATTAGGGAGGCTATATGATCCTTCTAAATATTTTTACTAAGAGGCACTGAGATCCTTTAAGACGTAGAAAAAAGGTGAATTGTTAATTTACATTTACTGTATAGTTAAGATAATGTTTAAAAACGGTAAACGAATATAATTTGATGAATAAAGATGCGACCATTTAGTTCTTTTGAAGGTTGTTAAGGATTTTACATGTTCATATCTCGTATTAGATTCATCTCACTGCAAATGTATAATTCATCTAAACTCACCATAGGTGGGACTTAAAGTCACTGTTAAATTAGTTTTAAAAGTTCCTAACAATGATATAATTTTTTATTATTACTTTAATGTTTAACTTTCACATGCTAGTAGCAGATGTATTCCCAGCCCCTTATTAGGGGATTGATATAGCGCAAAGACGCCAGTCTACATTTATGTAGCCAACTATAATATTATAGTTAGATAGGGATCTGTTATACACTCTGATTTTCAAAGGCTACCTGAGTAAGCGTGTAGCTTCAATGTAGAAGCTTAGAGTGCCAGGTTTAAAAAGTGGTGTTTGAAGGTTTCATATAGGTCATGGTTATCAACTACACTGTCTGTCTAAATATCATTTTAGTTTCTCATTTTATCATGGTTATGGCATGTCTATTGTGTTCTGGTGGATTTCCCACCATATTTACCTTTTTGCTTCATTCTACCATTGTATTTTATGCTTAAACACTTTCTGTTTTGAGGTATTGCTGTTGTATTTTATGTTTTTTAAAACCGTTTTTACAGGGGTTCACACTGTTAATATCTTCTTTTGGCCAGTATAATATAAAGGTACAGGTATATCATGGGTATCATATATCACAGTTATACTCTTTCGCTATCTTCAGTACCTGCCACATATATTGCCACAGTTACAGTTGAAATAACAATAGCCAAACTACATCCTTGGTCCAAGGGTATCCCCAGAACTTTGCAGGATGATCAAACTTAATGATTATGAACGCTTTGTATCTCAACATCTATACAAGAGCTCTATACAGTTTAATCCCGAACCATGATGTCATTTAGAATTAATTATTAAGTTGTTCTGTATTTGTGTAATTGCAGGTGAACATATTAGAAATGAAGGTGCAACTGAGCGGTCCCACTGGTGTCACGTGGCCTATTGGGAGCTTCGTCAACGTGTTGGCCGTCTTTATACAGTATTCGACCATCATCTAGACATCTTTCACTCTCTACCTCAAGGAAATGGAATGTGCTTAAAATCATTACTACCAGAGACCTCTATTGAGCAAGTCAAAAGAACTAGAGAAAAAATTAGTTTTGGAGTGACGTTAAGTAAGGAAGGAGATGGAGTGTGGGTGTATAATAGATCAACATACCCTGTCTTCGTCAACTCTCCTACCCTTGATGACCCAGACTCAAGGCTCAGTACAATACGCAAAGTTCCTCAAGGATTTAGTATAAAAATATTTGATTATGAGCAGTCAGAGATTCTACGTCTAACTCGTAAACCAGGAATTGATGAAGGTCCATATGACCCTCATGCAATAAGACTGAGTTTTGCCAAAGGATGGGGAGCAAAGTATTCTAGACAGTTTATCACATCATGTCCATGTTGGATTGAAATATTATTAACAGAAGAGGATGGCAGGTGATGAAGGCTTTGTCATACATCAGTGTCCTCCACCTCTAAGATCATATCTCTGCCTAGATGATATGATATCTGCCATCTGATATCAATAAATGGCTCGTACAGGGTATAGTCTAAACGATGGCATTAGTGTATGTGTCTTGTGGCAGTATTGGCTATCACTTACATGCCAATGCATTGTTTATTACCATCTTTTGTACTATTCCCTATTCCAGTCTCAAAGATATCATTTGTTCTATAGACACCCAAACATGGGATTTTACTTACCTCAACAGTGTGTATATATGCACAATGACATCTATATGGCTACATCTTAAAGCAATCAACAGGATCAACGGTCCTCCAGGATTTGAAGTCCTAGGATCCAACATCCAAGTGCCTTTAGTGTTGACTCTTCCTACTATGCATAAGGAAAACAGAGTATGAACAGATATTACAAAAACCAAGTGAAGTTAAGGCCCCCCAGGTATAAATGCCCCTTCACTAAATGACCTCAAGAAAATGGTCTCATAATTGAAAAAAAGGTCCACAGGAATATCTGTCCTACTGAAGAATAGCTCTCTACTGAAGATCCCCCAGGAATAATAGTACACTAATTTATTGTCTCCCATGAATAATGATCCTCTTTTAAAGGTTGCACATGAAAAATACTACACGATATGTTCTTAACTTCAGCATTTGATGATAGTGTTGAACCTTTACTTTGACATACATCTTTACAAGTATCTCCTAGTAAACAAAATATGCCATTCAGATCATGGTTTGCATCACAAAATGGTGTCAAAGAGAGGAATTAGTTCCTTCCTTGCAAAGAAAAAACTATTTGAGTTACTTCAAATTTTAAAATTGCCATATGTTCATGAGTTTATACATTATGTTCATGAGTGTATGCTATATGTGTTCACAAGTGTATGTTATATGTTCATGAATGTATACATTCATGCTAATGGGTGTATGCTACATGTTCATGAGTGTGCTTTATGTTCATGATTGTATGCTACATATTCATGAGTGTATGTGATATGTTCATGGGCATATGTTATATGTTCATGTTCATATTTTTCACATTCTATAGATATATGCTACACATTCATGGATGTCTGCTATATGTTCATGGGTGTATGCTTCATGTTCATAAATGTATGCTATATGTTCATGGGTATATGTTATAGTTCATGGGTGTACATTACATGTTCATGAGTGTTACTATATGTTCATGCTCTCTATATACAATATGTTTTTGAGTATATGTTCATTGTGGGGAACAAAATGAGTAAAGCAAACTTTAAGATATCCTTCAAAAATGCAAATACAATGTAACTGGAGATGCAAAATGCAGCATTATTGCCAAATCAGCTAAAAATCAAATCATTTTCCTAAAATTAAGATTCACCTCTATCCTGTGCTGCATCTCAGTATTTGGAAACACAAGTATTACATACAAGTACAGTATGCATAACTTGTAATGATAAAGTTGAATAATGTATGTTCCAAGACATATATTGTCAGGAATACAATATATCGTTATTAGAAAAAATGCCAGTAAGAACATGTACATGATCTATTTGAAGATAATATTTATAGTTAGTCATACAATGAAAGGCCTTTTTGTAATTTTCAAATTACAGATCTTTCAATGTGGGATTGAACTATAGTTGGTGAAAATGTTGTTCTTTGGCTGGAAGAGCCTATGTTGTGGATATGTATAATATATATTAAGATATTGACTAAGTTTTATATGATAATTTATACTTAAGTTAGTGCAATGGGAGTTGCATCAGATATACATATGAAAGCAATATGATGGCATTTTAAGAAATATTTTAGAGATTTTAAATTTTGGTTAAAAAACGTTACACTTTTAACATTTGATTAATTACATTTTTATTAAATGTTTTTTTTTTGTTATTGCATTTGAAAATATTAAATAGTTTATCAGTGAACTCAAAAAGTGGTATTTTTTAAAATGTCTCATTGTTTAGTCGCAGATACCATGGTCTTCAGTTGAAGTGTTTTGAGTGAGATGAGATTGTGCACTGTTCTAAAAAAGTTAACCAAAAGTACATTTTCCTTATTTCTGTGATGGAAAGAATAGATAAAATCACTACCATGAATCTGGTATAAAGGCATAGAATGATACAGCACATTTATACAAACATTTAAAACACAAAAGAAATAATTTGTACTTTGTAGGTGTAAGTGCAACCCTAAGTAAAGACTCAAATCTCATGAACTAAAACATACACTGGCTGCCATGGTATCTTAGACACATGTTTGCCTGTAAAGTTTTATTATGATAATCCATTTGAATCATTGAAACATTTTTGTATCAAAAGAATACAAATTCCAAAAATGAAAAGAGCATATGAAAAGTAATTATAGGCATTATAGAATTTTGTTATATTTGTTATATTTTTGTGTATTTTGTCTAGAATAAAATGTTTTCTTGGTTCAAATGGATATATTGTTATAATACTTGAGAAATGAAGATGTACAAATCTTGTTATATAAAATGAATATCATATGATATTCAACAGAATAAACTGAAGACTTTATTACTGTCTTTTGTTTCATATGAAGTTACAACTTCAGCCTATAGTGAATATTTACCCTTTGTAGAGTTTGAGGTACGTATATTTACACTCTCAGAAAAAGAATCCTTTCATAGCTTCATGATGGAATCCTAGTTTTGTGCAAGAAACTACTTCTGGTAAAGCTGCCGAGCATCATTCTGGTTAATGAAACCCCTCTAAACTTACTATCTAGTTCCAAGACTATATCTTTGTTGGTCTTTAGTACAAGATAACTCTATCCTATTGCAACTTGTGTGGAAAGTTCTTATTTATCTCTGAGAAAATAAACCAGCCCATGCAATGCCAAAGTCAAGCATCGGTTTTGAGATTTTTTTCTGAAAAACAGTAGTTGTGAACTTTTTGAGTCTAATTTAGGGTATACGTTCTTATAGTCAATGAAAATAGAATACTGTATCATCTTTAATGAACACACAATGAGCTTCTCATATGTTGAGAGATTCCATTAGCGCACATAAATAAAACATTTAGAAAATAAATATGTCTGATAAGCTTTGAAGTTGTTGTGACTGTAGTCATCACCAAGGTGAAAATATATAGCTCCTGTATTTTTTCTCTATTAAATATAATCATTGATCGATATTTTGTTGTGTATTTGCCAAAACCAATGCATTAAACTTCGTGTTTCTTGAGGCCATATTCATCACAAAAGTCGGATATGGTGATATGTATGAATACTTGCTAATTCGCGAACTACGCTATAGCCATCTTTATATTAGTCATTAAAATAAAACTACTCGCAAATTTATAAAATTTGAACGATATAAAGAGGGCAGCACCTCCTGACACTAATTGTGACTGAAATCGAGGCTAAGAATTTCCACGTTTGGTGCAACATATTCACCGGTCAGTCTTGGATCGGAATAACCCATCTTGGTAAGTAATTCACTTTAATTGAATCAAACTATAGACGTGTGGGTATTTCTTTGTAATGACATTTGATTTTAGTGACTTACCCATAGGCTAAATATGGTTTATTTGATGTTGAAGATTCCTCGAAAGTTCTGTCACAACTTTTTGGATCTTGTGAACACATCAACACAATTCCCATATCATTTTCAGTTAAATAACCCGATAGACGTGTCGAGTAGGCAAGTACATCATTAAAATATGATAATTTAGAAAAAAAACTTCTTCTAATGCTACTTTTATGAGGTCTTTTGCATATAGAAATTTCTTCTTCTTCTTAGTCCTTTTCAGTGTTCCTTATAAGGTGTTCCGGGATCACTTTGGCATTATTATGCTGCCTTTGATCACTTGTTGCTGTTTTTAAAACTCATGTACTAAAAATATCACTTGTACTTTTCACTTGTGCTTATTTTACTTCTGTTGGGAGAGAGAGCGCTAAAACTTGTTATCTAACGTAGTCTAAAATGCAAGTGTTTTTCCATTAAAATGAGATGTTAAAATAGAGTCACTATCTCACTCGAGTTAAAAATAAGTTATTAAAATCTCTTGGATTTCTGTATAAATGCCTGTAGGCATTTCATAATTTCTTTATTTAACTTATGGTCCAGGCTTGTGTTGAGTCCTGTGATTGTTTGTAGGTCTAGAGCTGGATTGTATTTAGCTCCTAGTAGTATCTGTTGCACTTTGGCCAATAGAATCTCCCTCTCTTCCTGGAACTTAGAGCAAGCAAAGATGTAATGTTCAACTGTCTCTGGTATGTTACAGTGGTCACAGTTGGGAGATAAAATATCGGGGTTAATTCTATGGTGATGGCCATGTAAACGGGTGTGCCCAGAAATAATTTGGTTACATATATTTCTATAATACCTAGTTCCTGTCTTTACAATTGGACTTTTCAATTTAACCTTAGGAATTAATTCCTGAACAAAGTTCACCTTGGTGGAGTTGTTATACCTATTTTGCCATTTCTCTAAAGCGTTACATTTGATATTATTATAAGCTACAGACTTAGATGTTTTACAGTCAGTGAGAGATTTGGCTGCCAATGCTGCTTTCTTGGCAGTTTTATCCGCAACTTCATTCCCTTCTGTCCCTTGGTGACCTGGGACCCAGTAGACTTCTAAGGTTTTGTTCTGTAAAGATAGCAGTTTGCAGGCTTTCCTTGTGTCAATAATGTCCTCTGTGATGCTTTTACACTTGGTAGTAATAAAAGATGCTGTTATAGCGGGTTGGCAGTCTGACAAGAGCAGGATGTTGCTGCTAGTCTTTATGGTTGTCAGATATTCTACCGCCATCTTTATTGCTACCACTTCCCCATAATAGTTGTTACCTATGAGGGAGACTGGTTGCTCAAGACATATAGGTGTAGATTTAAGTCCACCCACATAAACCACTGCAGCAGCTCCCGAAGGACCAGGATTCCCATAGGCTGACCCGTCTGTGAAGACTATAGTCCTACCGTCCGGCTGTTCACTAAGCACTGAGCTTAGAAATTTAAAAATGGACAATACTCAATTATCGCCCACCAATCAAGAACATTTCCGAGTTGCAAGGAATCGATTGAGAGGTCTTTCAGCAGTAAGTCCAATTCTGCAAGTCAATGAAAAAAACAGCACACTTCCATTGATGGCAAGCAGCATGTATTTATAATACAGCTATCATATTGGTTTGGTTGGTTAAGTCAATATATCATAGTCATATAAATCTGACCCTCGTATGATGTTATTTGTTGTTATTTTTTTCTGATTTGGATATTTATTTTTCTTATTTTCTCATACTATACAAGCTGCAGATTTTACTACCTACCCATATAAAACTCGCAGACACTCTATAGTCTAACATGGCCAGGATGGTACGAGGCCCCACCTGGTTTAAATCAATTCTTATGCATATCTATGAGCAAATATGATGTTTATATGAACTATTGGTCAATGTGTTACTATTTTGGTAGCCCTTGCTGATATATTCCGTAATTATTGTCACCTTTATATTTAACATGGCGAGGATGGTACGAGGCCCCACCTGGTTTAAATCAATTCTTATGCATATTTATGATTAAATATGTCCAAATATTATGTTTATATGAACTATTGGTCTATGTGTTACTAGCATTGGACAACCATTTTTTTAAATTAACCCAACCCCATTAAACTATATATTTTCTGAAAGCTTGGAGTTTCAATAAAAAGAAAATCTATAACCTAAATTTTTAGAAAATGCATACTGGCCGTGGCACCCATTTAAAGTAGGTCACCCTCAGGGGGTCCAAAAATCGTTTTTGCTAAAAACTGACCCCAACTTTGAAATTTAATTAAAAATTAACAATAAGGTTTATCTTATCATACCTTATATTTTCTTGTAACTCTAACTTTTATTTAACCAAACAAAAAAAAATGAAGGTCTAATATAAGTTCATATTTTCGTAAATTAGAGTCACAGAGTATCACCCATGGGCGTTTTTTGTATTTTTTTTTTAATAAACATTTGCAATGTACAATTTCCTATGTCTCTTTCATTTGGATCAATGGAGAACATTAGTACAAATATTTTTTTATTACTTGAGTAATATTCTTTCCATGTATACAAATAGTGTATCTATAAGCTGACACTACATGTATATCACTAAATTGTTTACCATAATATATAATATACATATGTCCATATGTACATGTATTATAGTTTTCAAAAGTCTTGAGAGACCAAAATAAAACTTTCCAAGTCGTTAAAACAAGCATGCTGCATTTAGAGATCAATGGTATGAGACATCAAGTGATTAGTGGTATGGGACATCAACTAACCAATAGTATGGGGCATCAAGTGATCAATGGTATGGGACATCAAGTGATCAACAGTATGGAACATCATGATCAAGTGATCAACAGTACTGGATATCAAGTAATCAACAGTCTTGGACAATCAATAATCAATAGTAATTAATAAGTATTAGGGAATAAAATAATTAACAGTGTGGGAAATCAAGTGATCAATGGTATGGGGTAGTAAGTGTTAAATAGTATGGGACATCAAATGATCAATAGTATGGGACATCAAGTGATCAACAGTATGGAACATCAAGTGATCAATAGTATATCAAAGGAATCAACAGTGTGGGACATCAAGTGATCAATAGTGTGGGACATCAAGTGGTCAATAGTATGGTATACATGTATCAAATGATCAATAGTATGGGACATCAAGTGATCATTAGTATGGGTCATCAATGATAAACTTTTACATTATGGGGCATCAAGGGAGGTGAGACTGCAAGTAGTCAAAGTGATTATCCGATGATAATAGATTGGGGCACCTGTAATTACTGAATTATGCATTGGTAATAGTCAAATAATCATACCAACCTATCCACATCGATCCACGTGCTTGATCGCGAGAACAACAACAAACTAATCACGTGACAATAACAATCTTTTAATCTGTGTCTAATAAGTCCAAATTCAACGGACATCGTATGAAGAAGTTTTCAATAGCATATTTGATTTCATAAATATACATTTATTTGAAGTAACAACCATAATTGAACACAGATTAACCAAAATTAACGATTTTATTTTTGCGCAAGACACGCGACCCCGGAAGATAAATATGGCCGCCATCTTGCATGAGAATCGGAAGATTACACCAGCCACTTTAAAAGTTGAATTTCTACATTTGCGCATATATATATCAGTGTAAGTTTTAATTTTTTACGATCTCAAGACTTTAAACTTTACAAATAACTGCTTAATCAAAGCGACCAAAAATTATTAAGGGTATAATTAAATGATTTAAACTTTACCTCGTGAAGTTCGTCCTCGCCAAAAACGATTTTCTTCTATTCTTCAGAATGCGCGAAGACTTCATTCAATTATTAAACAGATTTTATAAAGAAATAACAGCAATTCGACTTTTAACATAGTTAAAATGAGCGACCAAAATTGCATATAAAAGCGGGGTCAATTTTTTAGTGAATAAAATTTCCCGCGAAAACGCGCCATCTATTCGTTGTCCATTGCTAGTGTTACTATTTTGGTAGCCCTTGCAGATATATTCCTTAAATTATTGTCACCTTTATATTTAACATGGCGAGGATGGTACGAGGCCCCGCCTGGTTTAAAACAATTCTTATGCATATTTATGATCAAACATGAGCTAATATAATGTTAATATGAAATATTGGTCAATGTGTTACTATTTTGGTAGCCCTTGCAGATATATTCCCTAAATTATTGTCACCTTTATATTTAACATGGCGAGGATGGTACGAGGCCCCTCCTGGTTTAAATCAATTCTTACGCATATGTATGATTAAATATGAGCAAATATTATGTTTATATGAACTATTGGTCTATGTGTTACTATTTTGGTAGCCCTTGCAGATATATTCCCTAAATTATTGTCTCATTTATATTTAACATGGCGAGGATGGTACGAGGCCCCTTCCGGTTGAAATCAATTCTTATGCATATTTATGATTAAATATGAAAAAATATTATGTTAATATGAATTATTGGTGTATGTAATACTATTTTGGTAGCCCTTGTAGATTTATTGCCTAAATTATTGTCACCTTTATATTTAACATGTCGAGGAAGGTAAGAGGCCCCTCCTGGTTTAAATCAGTTCTTATGCATATTTATGATCAAATATAAGCAAATATTATGTTTATATGAACTATTGGTGTATGTGTTACGGTTTTGATAGCCCTTGCAGATATATTCCCTAAATTATTGTCACCTTTATATTTAACATGGCGAGGATGGTACGAGGCCCCTCCTGGTTTAAATCAATTCTTATGTATGATTATGATTAAAAATAAGCAAATAATATGTTTATATGAACTATTAGTCTCTGTGTTGCTATTTTAGTAGCCCTTGCAGATATATTCCCTAAATTATTGTCACCTTTATATTTAACATGGCGAGGATGGTAAGAGGCCCCTCCTGGTTTAAATCAGTTCTTATGCATATTTA